GGCTATTGGCCAGTATGGGTAAGGAATGGTGTCCCTAGCCTCTGTTTGTCAGAGCATGGAGATGGATGGCAGGAGAGAGATGGCTTGATCATTACCTGTTCGATTCACTCCCTCTGGGACACCTGGCATTGGCCACTGTCGGTAGACAGGGTACAGGGATGGATGGACCTTTAGTCTGAGCCAGTATGGCCATTCTTATGTTCTTATGTTCATGCATCTGCAGATTTTTTCCATACATGTAAGGAATAATTTTTATGTGCATCAAGACATGTGTGAATGAGCACCAGCAGTAGGAACAAAAAACCTAACTGTGGGCGCTGTTGCTATACCTACTTTTAAAAATGAGATAAACACTAAGGAGCTGATCATAGAATCATAGAATACTAGGACTGGAAGGGACCTCGAGAGGTCATCGAGACCAGTCCCCTGCCCTCATGGCAGGACCAAATACTGTCTAGACCATTTCTGATAGACATTTATCTAACCTACTCTTAAATATCTCCACAGATGGGGATTCCACAACCTCCCTGGGCAATTTATTCCAGTGTTTGACTACCCTGACAGTTAGGAACTTTTTCCTAATGTCCAACCTAAACCTCCTTTGCTGCAGTTTAAGCCCATTGCTTCTTGTTCTATCCCCAGAGGCCAAGATGAACAAGTTTTCTCCCTCCTCCTTATGACACCCTTTTAGATACCTGAAAACGGCTATCATGTCCCCCCCGCAGTCTTCTCTTTTCTAAACTAAACAAACCCAATTCTTTCAGCCTTCCTTCATAGGTCATGTTCTCTAGACCTTTAATCATTCTTGTTGATCTTCTCTGGACCCTCGCCAATTTCTCCATATCTTTCTTGATATGCGGTGCCCAGAACTGGACACAATACTCCAACTGAGGCCTAACCAGCGCAGAGTAGAGCGGAAGAATGACTTCTCATGTCTTGCTCACAACACACCTGCTAATTCATCCCAGAACCATGTTTGCTTTTTTTGCAACAGCATCACACTGCTGACTCATATTCAGCTTGTGGTCCACTATAACCCCTAGATCCCTTTCTGCCGTACTCCTTCCTAGACAGTCGCTTCCCATTCTGAATGTGTGAAACTGACTGTCCCTTCCTAAGTGGAGCACTTTACATTTGTCTTTATTAAACTTCATCCTGTTTACCTCAGACCATTTCTCCAATTTATCCAGATCATTTTGAATTATGACCCTATCCTCCTGAGCAGTTGCAACCCCTCCCAGCAAACTTATCATCTGCAAACTTAATAAGCGTACTTTCTATGCCAATATCTAAATAGTTGATGAAGATATTGAACAGAGCCAGTCCCAAAACAGCAATAAAAGATCCTCACTGACTTCAGTGTGTGGGGCCTCAAGCACTATGTTTTTCAGTGACCTATTTACAATATTCAGTTAAACTCTTGTAAAAAAGACACTTCAATCCAGTCTGCCATTGTACACTTTTAATATGGCATTTTAATCAGTTAAACAAAAATAAGTTGCCTAATTTGATTAGGCATGTCTTAATTTACCTTTTCCCTGCAAAATTCAGAGAAGTCATATTGCATTATAATGTGCTTAAATAATGCAAATTTAAATATTTAAAATGGAGCTATTCAAATAATTAAAATATGTATTTGTGAATCATTTATACACTTGTTGATAGCAGTGATGGAGAGAATTATTAATCAGTCATTAGCCCCTATTATTTGTTCAGTTCTAATTGCAAATAAGCTTGAAATTACATCCACCGTGAAGAAGACATTAGTGCTATGTAGTACGGACAGCTGTGAGGATGTAAGACAATAGAATTCATTAACAGTGCCTGCAACTGTTAATATAATACACAAATATTATTTCTCAGCAACTACGTAATGAATTTACTGTGTGATTATTCGCCTGAATGCAAATCTATGACTTGGTGAAGGGATTATATTACTGTCATAAACCTCTTCAGGGTCCCAAAACAATTTATGTATGGTGCAAAAGAAGAGAATAAAACGACATTCAAAAAGATAACAATGATGAAGCTCACATAGCGATGAATAATGTAAAGCAAAAATCATAGCTGGGAAATTATGGACTAGGCAGTAAAAATATAGAGAAGGATGTGAAGGTTATTGCAAGTAGGAACAATGAAGTGGAGCAAGAATAAGTCAAGCAAATTATTGAGGAAATTATTCCACTTTATTTCATCCTTGTTAAGCTTCCAGTTGAATTACCGTTCTCAATATGACATATTAGATTTTTGTAAAGAAAAATCAATTGAGAAAAGTAAAGATGTTTAGAATATAAGATCCAGAAGAAAATATGAAGAAAACTGACGGTTAAATACAACTCAATTTTCTCACACTCTGACGATATTTTAGCTGCCAGAATATGACAAGGGATGTTAAGAAAAGGAAAGAGATCCATTATTCTTTTTTAGCCAATGAAGATATATAAAAAAATAATGGTCAGAAGGGAAAATATAAGTACAATAACATATTAATATTACAGGCCTGGTTCTTCTCTCAGGGTATGTCTACACTACAGCACTAATTCAAACTAACTTAATTCGAATTAGTTAATTCGAACTAAGCTAATTCGAATTAGTGCATCTAGACCTAAAAACTAGTTCGAATTAGCGTTTTGCTAATTCGAACTAGCATGTCCACACTGAGTGGACCCTGAACCGAGGTTAAGGATGGCCGGAAGCAGTACCGGCAGGGCATCAGATTAGGACTTAGAGCATGGACCTGCTGCCTCAGGCTAGCCGAGGACTGTGCTTAAAGGGACCCGACCCCCATCCCAGACAGACAGTTCTCAGGGGTTCTCCGCTCGCTTGTCTAACTCGATGAGGGACAGCAAAGCAGTCCTGGCTTGCAGTGCCCTGAATGCCCACACTCGGCACATCACAGCACTCGGCCATCAGCCCGGTGGCACTTGCCGCAGGCTGCCATCCGGGGAGGGGGGTCAATCAAGGGGCTGCAGGAGAACTTCCACCCCAAGGAACCCGCAGAGCCACCCCAGTCCTCTCCATCGGGAGCTCGTACCCCATTCCCCAGTCCTCCTTCCTGATGTACAAAATAAAGGACACATGTGTTCAAAAACAGAAACTCTCTTTATTTAACAAAACTGGGGGGGGGAATAAAACTGTGGGGAGACGGGGAAAGGAGGTGGGAAAGGGCAGGAGAGAGTGTGGGAGAGGGGAGGGGGAAAACTGGGAGGAGGGAGCTGGAAGGGGGAAGCAAGGGAAAGGAGGGGGAGGGGAAACTCAGGGATTGGGGTGGGG